TTGCATGTTCAGAGCAGTCACAAAACTTTACAACAGATTAGCTCAGCAATGTGTACTGCAGTCTCTAGGAAAGCATGAACATTTTTGGTTTGATCTTTAGAGTCCTCTTTTGTCTCCAAAAGTTTCCAATGAACTCTAAGATTAAGAACTGTATCTCTATTCCAAGAGCCAATTACAGCATTTACCGGTTAACTAATGGTCATTACATATGACCAAAAAAACACTGAAACATTGAAGTCCTGCTCTAATTGGAAAAGAAACACTTTCAAAATAAATAAATTAGGGTGTTTACGTTTTATCAACAAATAAGAAAACAATCTGGGACTGGCATAGTTATGTAATTTAAGAAAAAAAAATGCCAAAGGATAGAGATGTAGATAGGGACTAGTGCCAATGATATTAGATAATACTGACATATAAAGGGCTATACAATTCTATCAACATTTATATTATGCATATTTACAATCTTTCAAGGCAGGAAATACTTTTTTAATATGCTTTTTCTTTACTATGTGAAGTAGTCTTTTATAGATTGGCCTCTTGGTTAATATCAGTCCTTCCAATCAAGCATCCAATTGTAATTCTGGCTCCCTCCCTTGAATCAGTTTTTGCTAGCTGTATATTAAATATACAGCCAATACCATATAGTTATGATTTCCATCTGTAGAGTCTGATATTTTCAATGGCCCTAGCAGGATTTCCTTTGGGTACTTTGAACAGAGACAAAATAGGCAATCAACTATCCTGAAGCAATTACAAAGCTGGATTGTTCAATTTTGTATGGTGAGAATATTCTCATTTGCCGTCTGTCTGACCTAACATCACTGCATATAAATGCAATAAAACCTATAGGCTCAGACTCAATCTTGGCATCACATATCAGAAAATTTTATCTTATCAAAAGCATTTCTCAGGTGAAATAAGCTGCCTATAGTTACAGAAATGCTTCAGCCATAAATGTGATTGCCATAAAAAATTACATTAGCTAAAGGTCTACCATTTAAAGAGTCAAAAAAGCTATCTAACATGCTTTCTAAAAAGAAATTCTTGGTTTCTGCTGGTTAAATCCCAAAATTAAAATACTTTTCAGTGAGCCAATACTGTGAGTAACGTAACTATAATTACTTACCTCGTGTGATCACTACAATAGCCTCCTAAGTGTTTTCCTTTAATGGAGAACAGTAAACCATTCCAAACTAGCCTTGATACTTCTGCCAGGATAATCTTTCTAAGTGATAGTCTTGTCTGGTCACTCTCCAGTTTAAAACCATGACTCTCACTGGGTAAAGTTTTTGAAGGTCTTCCTCAGACAGCAAAATAAGGCTTCTCATGATCTTACTCCAGCCAGTTTTCTCCAGCTACCCTTCTGCAATTCTTCCATTTTCACCGTACACTTCAGCAATACCTAATCAATTGCAGTTCCCTAGGTAGTCCTGCTATTTGATGCTCAGAGCCAGGAATTAGGGGGTGGAGAGAGTGAGGCATTTGCTTCAGGTGCAAAATTTAAGAAAATGGCAAAAATCAATAACAACAATAAATAATGTTTTAATGCAATATTTTAAAAACCAAAATTAATGTAAAAATCTGTAATAAAAGATTGTTATAAATATAATATTGTAAGCATCAAAAATAGTATTTTTCTTCTAATACTCATTCCTCTTGCTTGACACATATGTTCTGCATTTGTTAACTCCACTCATCTTACTCATCTTTTAAGAAACTCCTCTTCAAGGAAGTGCTCTCTGATTTTTCTTTTCCCAGAAAGAACTCAGGGCTCCTTCTGAAGTACCATGGTGCCTTGTACCTGCTTCTGTTTATTCATTTATCATCCTGTGTTTGCTTATTTCTGTACCAGTGTGTGTTAGAACACTGTGTTAGAACACGTCTCTATAGACACTACGCTTATTCTGCCTAACATCTCCTAGAGACTATGGTAAGCAGAATTCTAAGACAGCCCCATGATTTCCACTCCCACTGCTATTACACCCGTGATTAAGTTCCATTATATGGCAAAGGTGAGGGATCTCACCCCCTTGATTAGGTTACATTATAGAGCAAAGGTGGAGGGATTTTGCAGATGTAATTAAGGCTCCAAATTGGTTGAATTTAATCAAAAGGGAAATTATTCTGGATGCCCCAGACTTAATCAAAGCCCTTGAAAAGAGGGCTTAGGTTTTCTTTGCAGTCAGAGAATATCCTGGCTTTGAGGAGCAAGTGGCCATGAGTTCTTCAGCTATAAGGAAATAAGTTCTGAAAAAAAACAAAAAACAAAAAAAAACTACTAAGTGAACTTGGAAGAGAAGCTCAAGCCTCTGTTAACATTTTGATTGTAGTTTTGTCAGACCCTGAACAAAAGATCAAGCTGCCCTGCACTCTAATCTGTGCTCACACAACTGACCCACAGACATTGTTTTAAGTTGCTGGGTTCATACATAATTTCTTGTGAAAAATAAAAAACTAATACTGAGAATATTATACTAACCTCCTAAGTGAATTTCCTGTATACGATTTATCATTAAACTTTTGATCTGTTATACCACACCTAGATTAATCTTTCTGAAGAAGAGCTATGATTGTATTATTCTCTGCTAAAGACCTCCATTTAAAAACTTCTAATTTCCCACAAAGTAATGAAAAACTCCATAGTCTGTATTCCCAATAATCTTCTTACAATTTGTCTTTCAAAACCTACCTCCCACTACTCTATAAAAACTTATGCCACTCCAATGAAATAATAATTCCCTCTTCTTACACATAATCTAGGCAATTATTGCCTCTATACTTTTGCTATATCTACAAACAATTAAATACAGGATGATAAGTGCAAAAATCAAAGCATGTACAAGGAACCATGGTAGTTCAGAAGCAGCTCTGAGTTCTTTCTGGGAAAAGAAAAATCAGAGAGCACTTCCTTGAAGAGATGTTTCCCAAAGGATGAGTAAGATTAGCAGAGTTAAAAATACAGAACACATATGTCAAGCAAGAGGCATGATTATCAGAAGAAAAATGATATCACATTTGATGAAAAATGAGGCTATGATTAGTAGATATACCAAAACGTATTTTTCAGCTCTCAATCCCAATTCTTTCATTATTATTATTATTTGTTGAATGTATACTTTCTTATCTTTAAAGGTAAAAATTTTGCGTTTGGTTGGATATAAGAAGAGCATATTTTACCCAAATTCTCCCCTGTAAAGCCAACTGAAAACAATGAAGGACATAAAAAGACAGTGATAAATGCCTATAATTGATGTAGAAGACATCCATCCTGTCAATCAATAAACTATAAATAATCATCACTAAATATTGTGAAATACGACCATACTGAAGGAAGATTTTAAAAACATGTAAGTACTCCTGCAGAACATGGAAAGCTAGAAGAGATCTCCATAGTCAGGTGACTTATTCTAAGGGGTACATTTATTGACTTATAAAGTACATGACAGTACTATAAGAGTGTCAATGAGTTTTTATCGAAACCTCAGCCATAGTGGAGAAGGGGCCAAATGAAGATAACCACTGTGTTAGTCAGGTTTGTTGTATATATACACAGCTACGTGTTGCTTAATGTCAGGGATGGATATAACCTATTGCTTCTAGGCTACAACCTTGTAAAACATGTTACTCTCCTGAATACTCTAGGCAATTGAAATACAATGGTAAATATTCGTGTATCTAAATAGATCTAAACATAGAAAATGTCCAGTATAATTATGACATAACAGATAAAAGATGGTACACATGTATAAGGCAGTTACTATGAGTGGGGCCTTCAAGACTGGAAATTGCTCTGCATGAGTCAGTGGGTGGTGAATGAATGTGAATGTGAAGGTTTAACATTACTATACACTACTGTAGATTTTATAAACACTGTGCATTTAGGTTACACTAAATTTATTTTAAAAAATTATTCCACACCGGGCGCGGTGGCTCATGCCTGTAATCCCAGTACTTTGGGAGGCTGAGGTGGGAGGATCACGAGGTCAGGGGATCAAGACCATCCTGGCTAACATGGTGAAACCCCGTCTCTACTAAAAAAATGGAAAAAATTAACCGGGCATGGTGGCGGGCGCCTGTAGTCCCAGCTATTCTGGAGGCTGAGGCAGGAGAATGGCATGAACCTGGGAGGCAGAGCTTGCAGTGAGGTGAGATCCTGCCACTGCACTCCAGCCTGGGCAACAGACCTCAAAAAGATAACATAACATAACATAACATAACATAACATAACATAACATAACATAACGTAAAATAAATCTTATTCCATTGTAGGCTGGGCACGGTGACTCATGCCTGTAATCCCAGCACTTTGGGAGGCCAAGGTGGGCAGATCACAAGGTCAGGAGTTCAAGACCAGACTGGGCAATATGGTGAAACCCCGTCTCTACTAAAAATACAAAAATTAGATGGGCATGGTGGCACATGCTGAGATTGAGCCACTGCACTCCAGACTGGGCCACAGAGAGAAGCTCCGTCTCAAAAAAAAAAAAAAAAAAAAAAAATTCCGTAATAAATAACCTTAGCTTACTGTAACTATTCTTACTTTGTATAATTTTAATTTTTTTTTTAAATTTTGGACTCTTTTATGATAATACCTAGCTTAAAACACAAATACATTTTATAGCCATACAAAAATATTTTCTTTCTTGATGTCCTTATTCTGTAAGCTTTTTTCCATTTTTTAAACTTTTATACTTTTTTGTTAGAAACTAAGACACAAACACACACATTTGGCTAGGCCTATACAGGGTTAAGATCATCAATATCACTGTCTCCCGCCTCCATATATTGTCCTAGTAGAAGGTCTTAAGGTGCAATAACAGGCATAGAACTGCCCTCTCTTATGATAACAATGCCTTCTTCTGGAATACCTCCTGAAGGGCCGGCCTGAGGCTGTTTTACAATTAACTTTTTTTTTTTTAACGAGTAGAAGGAGTACACTATAAAATAATTTAAAAGGTGTAGTATAGTGAATACATAAACTAGTAATACAGCTATTTATCATCATTGTCAAGTATTATGTACTATCTATAATTGTATGTGCTAAACTTTTATATGAATGCTAGCACAGTAGGTTTGTTTACAGCAGCATCACCACAAACACGAGTAATGCATTGCACTATGACCATACAATAGCTATGACATCATTAAGCAGTAGGAATTTTTCAGCTTCATTATAATATGTACGGGACAACTGTGTATATGTGGTTCATCATTGACTGAAATATGGTACATGACTGCCTACAAACATACACACACACACGCTGAGAAGTATCAGAATCTGCTGTCTGTAAGCGGGAGACCCAGGAAAGCCAAAGAGGTAATTTAACTGAGTCCCCAGGCTTGAGAACCAGTGAATCCGTGCTATAAAATTAGCCCAAGGTCTGGAGAAGATGAAATGTGATGTACCAGTTCAAGTGGTATGGCAAGAAAAAAGGGGAAATTTCCTCCTTCCTTCGGCTTTTCTTCTTTTCAGGCCTTTAGTGAACTGGATGAATGACCACTCACATTGAGAAATGCCATCTGCTTTACTGAGTCCACCAGTTCAGATCCTGTCTCATTCAAAAACATTCTTATGGACATACCCAGAAATAATGTTTAAACTGGAAACCCTGGGGCTAGTCATATTGATACATAAAATTAATGATGGCAAGCACACAAACTAACTTTGCAAGAAGCTGGTTGCTTTTGTGGCAAAATGAATGAAAAACCAGAGTGAGTAATCACATACGAATCTACTGATCTTGCCAGTTTACTTAAACGTAAACAATAAGCCCACAATAATAATTGTAATGTGTGATTTTTTTGCTGTAGAATTAGCAGACCTTCTAATTACTTGGAATAGAATCATGTTTCTGGCGTAGATTATGTCAACTAAATTAAATCCAACCTGCCTGCTGTTTAGCACCCTTTGTAAATCTCTCTCCACCTACAGTCTTTAGCAAACTGCGGCTCAAAATAAATGTCCCAGATTTTAAAAAATAATATGAAAGTCTCCAACATTGTAATTACTCAACGACACAGCCAGGAGAAAAGAGAAATATCAAAGAAATGTAAATAATTTCAAGTATAAATATCAGCATAATGGTTACAAAAGATAACTAAAAATGAGTTACAAGCACTTTTTTTCATAAAATCAAGGTAATTAAAAAATTAATGTTACCCTGAAAGGAGAGTTAAAGGTATAGACAACAGTGATTAAAAAGAGAAAAACAAATAAATAATAAGATGGAAAGTAAGATAGCAATAAATGGAAAATTTAAAAAGAGCTTCAGTTATTAAAATTATATTAAAAATAGCAAATACAAGAGTAGACATTGCTAAAAACATTGCGAACAAAATAGGCTTCAGAAAATTGAACAAAATAAAACAATAAAATATTTTAAAAGAATTACAGAGAAAATGACAGATCTGAAAGGCAGTCACAAGATAATATAATGTGCACATACTTGGTGTTTCAGATGAAGTAAAAAGTACAAATGAGGCCGGGCGCGGTGGCTCAAGCCTGTAATCCCAGCACTTTGGGAGGCCGAGACGGGCGGATCACAAGGTCAGGAGATCGAGACCATCCTGGTTAACACGGTGAAACCCCGTCTCTACTAAAAAATACAAAAAACTAGCCGGGCGAGGTGGCAGGCGCCTGTAGTCCCAGCTACTCGGGAGGCTGAGCCAGGAGAATGGCGTAAACCCGGGAGGCGGAGCTTGCAGTGAGCTGAGATCTGGCCACTGCACTCCAGCCTGGGCAACAGAGCTAGACTCCGTCTCAAAAAAAAAAAAAAAAAAAAAAAAAAAAAAAAGTACAAATGAAACAGGAGAAATATTAAGGATGTAGTAAAAGAAAACTTTCCAAAAGTTAAAAAAGAAGTGAATCTAAAGAACAAATAGGAAAATTGTACCTTAGAAAAACTTTATACAGGATAAAAACAAAGAATAAATGATAAAGTATAAACAATGAAAGGGTTATCTAGGAAAAATGTTCAATTTATGCATAAAAGGGAAAAATTCAGGCTAGCTTCAGGCACTTTTATTAAGTTAAAAATTGTGAAATGTGTGAAGAGCAATGTTACATAGTCCTCAGAATAAAAAAGTGTAACCCAAATGTTTTATGCAACTTTCAAGAACTCTTAGAATACAGCACCCATGAGCTCTTAATGAAAAAAAGTTGATGTACATTCTTTCATAAATCACATAGTGAAAGAAATAAGCCTGAAAATAGGAATGAGTAGTAAATGCACAAAAATAGATAATAAGAAATAAAGAGGTATGGGAATTATGGAATATAATACAAATATTATTTATATTGTAAAATTATGCAACTATAATACAAATCTCAAGGTGAAAAAAATAAAGAAATTTTAAGTGTGCTGTTTCTCTTCCTTTTTAATAACTGGAGATTAATTCAATATATAAATAATACAAGTTTTAGAAATTTAAAAGTGTGAAGTAACCTATAAAAAAATTAAAAATAGAAATATAGACAAACCAAACTTGAGGTTAGTTTGGAGAAATAGATGTGGTAAACAGGAATGGAAATTAACTAGATACCTCATCTTTGTTGATAGGAGATCAATTTATGGTATCTAAAGTTGACATATACAGAAAAAAAGATTTAAATCTAATTAATATATAAAACTTTAAAGACAATGTTTCAAAACACTAAAAAGAGCACATAAACTTATTAAAGTAACAGGATGAAAATGCACAAACAGCAAATTAGAGAAATACTGGTTTTAGAAAGGAGAATGTTAAGTGCATAAATAAATTGGGATTACATGTTCTCATTTCTGTGCATATACATTGATATCCATGTATATGCATTGAAGTATAATAAGTAGTGACTAATAGTAGCTTCCTGAAAGGCTGAATTAACAAAAAGTTTTATTTTGTAAGCTTTTGATTTGTCTATTTGGCTATGTCCATTTATTACTTTACAAAAATTAATAAAAATATGTATCTATTAATCTACATCATATATAACAATATATATTACATTATACACTGTGCAATATATGTTATGGTACAATATAGATACATTGTGCAATATATGCTACGTAAATGTATACAACTTCTTATTGTTCGATATAATCATTATATGCACCTAACAATATAGACCTTTGAAGAAGAAACATAATCACATTTGCAATATGATTACATTGCCTCTATTTAAAGGTGAGGAGAACACACGTGGAGATCAATCCAAGATTATTATTATTATCTTTGTGTATATTATGAAGCCTTTTCCCATACACATATTTTTCTAATACATTTTATTATATTTCACATAGAATTCTGTATCCCACTTTTTCATTTGACTAACATAATGTTTATTAAAAGATTCCATATTCTTCATAAACATAATTGTAATGTCTGGAAAATATTTCTTAAATAACCATACCATATTTTATTTGAGGACATTATGAGCCAACATTTAGATTGATTTAATTTTTTTCATCATTGTAAATAATATTACAAGAAACATTTGTCTTCCAAATGATTATCGTTATTTAGTACATTTTTATTAAGGTAGATTCTCAGATGTGGAACTGTATCAAAGATATCAGTTACCATACTTGTGGACATTCTTTATTTCCCACTGGCTAATGTAATATTTCTCTAAACGAAGACACCTTGGCACACTTCTTTACAATGTACTATCAAATTTATATTTCATAGGTGACTAATATCCAAACAATATATGAATATATGAAGTGGATATTAATCAATAAGAGACACTCTAACCAGATTGTAATCACATGAAACTAATGGTAAGAGGTCTACACTAGAGATATCCAGTCTGTGATACCTCTGCTTCACGTACCACGACTGTTACATCAAGATTTCTCCAAGAGCTTCTGAGTTCCCAACTTCCTTAGGTATTCTTTCTTAAAATCAGTCTTGAGAACACAAAAAGCACAATGCAGATTTGTTATTTCCAGCTTCTTTGACAGAAACTTTTTCTCTTCCACTTTAGGAAGGAAAGGAGTAGCTCTCACTAATCTAGAATCTACCTCTGGTGAAGAGCCCTGGGGTATATGAACCTCTATGACACCAAACAAAGGGGCAAAGTTTGGTGGAGATGCTGAAAAGCCGAATGACTCTAATGACTACCTGACAAATCTTTCTTGAAAGTCAAATGGTTTCCAAGTCTTTGCTTTCAGCAAAATTGGGGAGGACCTAATCAAGGTGTCAGCTAGAGTAAAAGTAATTTATACTAGATGACTGTAAATTTGGGCAAATATCTCCAAAAGAGATCAAAGAATGGAGTGACATTGCTCCTTCCATTTATGCCCACTTATTTATGTGAATATGATTCCTCAGGGCTTATATCTGTAAAACCCCAAAATAGAAGCAGAACTCGGGCAGCAACTATGTGATTCTTGGTAATTTCCACCCATTGACATCAGAACCAATGAACAAATAAAAGACATCTACCTCACTACAAGATGAATATCCAATAAAATATTAAATTCATGCTTTAACATTGTTAATCAAATGTGAAGTATAATACGTTGTTTTGATTAATGGTGTGCTTATGCCAACTTCAATAACTCAATGTGGAAAATATTTTTAACATTTAACACTCTTCTGGTTACAGGAAACATTTAAAAATTAAGTCTCCATTTATACACATAATATATTTTAGAAAAGTATGTTAAGGTAATCAATAAAATCCTTTCAAGCATACAATACATGACATTAGGATTAAACATTTTGGAGAAAGTGAATAAAAATGTTAGCTTGAAGAGCAAAATTAATGCTGTTATATTTAAAGCTGTTTATGTATTTTAAATGAATACTGGTGAGTATTTAATAATATGGTGTTTACATTGTATTGGTAAAATTTAAAGCGTGATCTAACAGTTTTATTTTTAAATGTCAATATTTGCACTATGCATGAAATGACATCTTTGAAAGTGTTTAAATATATGATGACAAATTTCAGCTGCCAACCAATGTAAAAATGTATGTATAGTTTTACTAAATTATTTTAATGATACTCAAATAAAAATATTTCAAGGATGCTCTACAAGCTACACTCATTAATATTGATACTTTATCATAATTATTATTCCAAGTGCTATACACAACAGACAACCTCACCTCATCCTTGAACCCCACTTTTTGCTTATGATACACCACACGATGGTCTCATCCCAAAACATTAACCCCATTTAAGCTCTGAAATCATCTGTGACAACCATCAAAATGGAAGAATTAAATGGCACACATTCAGCAAAACTAACTAATGAACTTTAGAGTTTTCCATTGATCCTGTCACTTTACTCCTTTAGTACAAAGGAAAACCAAATTCGATCAAGC